TGCCGTCTCGGGCGCTATGCTCGCTCTTCGCCCTCCTCCAACCCACGCCGACAGAAATGAAGTTCCCGAGAGACCTGGCGAGTGACCTCGACCATAGTGGTCCATGGGTGATAGCCTTCGGACGTCCCCCGCCTTCGGATGGGCGAGGATTGGGGTCCTGAAAGCGGTTCTCACACAGACACCCGCCATTCCTACCTTGCAAGATGGGAAAGAGAACTAAGCTCCCGGCTTCCGGTCTATAAGCAATGACGGGAGGTGTACAAGAACACTTCCTTCCTGTGTGGGACCTCATGGGAAATGTAGTTTTTCTTACGCATGGCCATTGCAACATGTCCTGGCGAGGCACCGATTTTCCTTAAGCGGTCAGGGCGGATGAGATGGCTTAAGATGGCTCAGCAAGTAAAGGCGCTTTCCGCCATAATTATCAGAGTTTGATCCTCCGTCATGTAAAGTCGAGAACCGAATTTACAGAGTTGGCCTCTCACCTCCATGAACGCACACATACAAATGATAATTAAAAAAAAATAAAATTTGGGGAGGGAGAGGGAACTGGGATTGTCATGTAAAACAATCTTGGTTCTAATTCAAATAAAAACATCTGCAGAAAAAATTTAAAATTAATAAGAGATTTTGTTCATATTAAAAGTTAAACAGGGGGCTGGAGAGATGGCTCAGAGGTTAAGAGCACTGACTGCTCTTCCTGAGGTCCTAAGTTCAATTCCCAGCAACCACATGGTGGCTCACAACCATCCGTTATGAGATCTGGTACCCTCTTCTGGTGTGCAGATATACATGGAAGCAGAATGTTGTATACATAATAAAAAATAAAATCTTTAAAAAAAAGTTAAACTAAGCGGGGCGTTGGTGGCGCACGCCTTTAATCCCAGCACTCGGGAGGCAGAGGCAGGAGGATCTCTGTGAGTTTGAGGCTAGTCTGGGCCACAGAGCCAGTGCCCAAACAGCCAGGATTGTTACCCTGTCCTGTGTCCTGGCAATCCCACCTTACTCATAGAATCATCTTGCTTGGCCTATTTATTTATTTATTTATTGGTATTTCAAGACAGAGTTTCTCTGTGCAACAGCTCTGGCTGTCCCAGAACTCACTCAGTAGACCAGGCTGGCCTGGAACTCAGAGATCCAGCTGCCTCTGCATACCAAGTTCTGGGAGTAAAGGCGTGTTCCACTACCGCTAAGCCAGGCCTATTTATTTTTAAAGATCTTTTATTTCTAATTCTGTGTATGTGTGTGAGTGTATGTGTATGTGTGAGTGTATGTATGAGTGTGTGTGTGTGTGTGTGTGTGTGTGTGTGTGTGTGTGTGTTTCTGTTTGTTTTGAGAAAAGTTCTCACTACATAGCCTTAGCTGACCTGAAACACGATATGAACACAGGCTGACTTCAAATTAATAGAGATCCACCTGCCTCTATACTTCCAAGTTCTGGAATTAGAAGGCATATGCCACCATACCCAGCTTTTAAACATTTTTAAACACTTTACCCAGCTAAAAAAAAAATTAAAAAATACTTTATTTTCCTCTTTCTCTCTCTCCGTCTGTCTTTCCATCTTTCTTTGCTGTGTGTGTACTCATGACAGGGTACACTCGGCAGTCAAAGGACAAATTGCAGGAATCAATTCTTTTCCTTGATCCATCTTGCTGGCCTCCAATAAAGTATATCTTTAAATAAATATATTTGAACTTGTTATCAGCCAGTCACTGTGTTAGGCTCTAAGCATATGCAGCAGAAGGAGACACTGACTTTGTTGTTTAAGTAGCTTGTGTTCTGAAGGAAGACACAGAAAGTTCAGCCCCAGTGATGCTAAAGTGTGCTAGGGGCTGATAGAGGCGTGAGCCAGCATCCTCGGGCCCACAGGAGAGGAAGAGGCATTTACTTATTTTTGGAAATTGGTCAAGGGGCTTGCCCAGAGTGTTACTCCTACTTAAGCTGGAGTTTAGTATTGCCTGACATTTAGTTTCTAGCTGGTCAAAAGTTTGAAGACTACTCCAGACTTTGAGTGATGATGGAACCCAGTTGTTGGAATACTTCCCTGGCATAGGTTTGGTTCCCAACTCTGCGTGAATCTTGGGTGGTGTAATTACAGGATTATATGCCTATAATTCCAGAATTTGGAGGTAGAGGCAGGAGGATTGGAAGTTCCAGGTCATCTTCAACTGTGTAGTGAGCTCAAGGCAAGTGTGGGCTACCTGCCTCAAACAAAAGGGCATGGGTCACTGGAGGGATGGCTCAGAGACTAAATGCACTTGTTGATTTTACAGAAGACCTGGGTTTGTTTCCCAGCATCCACCTAGTGGCACACAACTGCCTATAATTACAGTTCCAGAGGATTCTACACCCCTTCTGAATTTTGCAGGTACAGCACTTACAAACACCCCTATCTACACACATATACATATAACTCAAAATAAAATTAATTGACATTTTAAAAAGTGTATTCCACTGAGTTTGGTCATGAATGCCTATAATCTTAGCAACTTGGAAGGCTGAGGCAGGATCTGTGTCTGTGAGTTCAGGACCAGCCTAGTGGGTTTAAGGTCACCCTGACTGTGGTCCTTGACAAGTGGAGATCCTACTTCTTTAAAAATAAATTTTTATCGAGGTGGTGGTGGCTACGCCTTTAATCCCAGCACTTGGAAAGCACAGGCATTTGGATCTCTGAGTTCAAGGCCAGCCTGGTCTATACATCAAATTCCAGGACAGTCAAAGCCACACAAAAACAAAGACCAACCAACCAAACAAATAAATAAAAATTTAAAAATGAAAAGGATATTCCAGACCCAAATGACTAAACCTTGAATAGCAACTATGGCCGAAGCAGGAAGCATGATGGCTTTGGCAACTGTTGGGTTCTGTGATGGTATTGGCTTCAGCCATAAGTGGAAGGGTCTAGTGCAGATGGAAAGATTCCAGTTTAATGGTAAAGGCCTTGGGCCTCCTTCACAGAACAAAAGAATAATACAGTTCTGTTTGTGTTCTACATAGATTTAGGTAGCTCTCCATAGAGTGTACAGTACAGAATATAGATAGCCTAGAGTGTTTTTCTCACTCAAAGAGCTTTGAAAAGGAGCTGATGGGCCGGGCAGTGGTGGCACATGAGTCTGTGAGTTTGAGGCCAGCCTGGTTTACAGAGGGAGAGGGAGTTCCAGGACAGACTCCAAAGGTACACAGAGAAACCCTGTCTCGAAAAACCAAAAAAAAAAAAAAAGAAAAAAAGAAAAAAAGAAAAAACAGCCAAACAAACCAACAACACCCTCCCCCCCCCCAAAAGAAAAAGAAAAGAAAAGAAAGGGAGTTGATGAGAAATTGTGTTTACCAAAAACTTGCTGCATGGTGCTAAGTGCACGGTTCTAAGTGCCTCACAAATTCACCCTTTAGGGCACAGAGGGAAACTGAACTAAAGGAAGCCCTTTGGCTTGCCTGTGACATTCATGTGGGCAGATGCAGGAATGAACTCTCCTGTGACCCTTTCTTTTAGATTCTCGATGAAGGGTCCAGAAGGAATCCTAAGCAAGAACAGCTGTCTGTGGACCATGAAGATAGGAGAGGCTCTTATCCCACAGGAAGTTGCCTCCAGTCTGAGGTTAGAGGCAGAAACCTGGGTCCTTATGGGGGAAAACTCTCCAGAGAGAGGAAGTAGATTATTTCAGTGTGTGTGTGTGTGTGTGTGTGTGTGTGTGTGTGTGTGTGTGTAGGGGGTAGGGCTGAAGTCACTCAGCATTTGGTGAGTGTCATAGAGAATGAGGTGAGTAGTGGGAAGATGGAGGGATTGGAGAGGCGAGCTGGGATTATTAGACTACGTATTTGTTCCAAAAATTTGGACAATACCGTAAAGGCAGTGAGAAGCTATTGAAGGATTCAGTGTAAAGAGTATTGGCACTGTACTGTAGATGAGATCACACACTCCGCAGTGTCCATGGGATGAGTTCAGGGACCCCAGCAGAGCACTGAACCCAAAGGTGTTGATGACCTTCATGTAAATGGCACAGCCCTAGAACCTAGACACATCTCTCACATACTTCCGTTCTTTCAATGAATATAGTTATCCTCTCATATTGTTTGGGGGAATAATAATAAGAAACTGAGGCTGGGGCTGTAGCTCTGTGATAGAGTGCTTGACTAGTGCGTGAGAGGCTCTGGGGCCCATCCTCAACATCACAGTGGAGGGTCCACTTTATTTATATTTAAGTATAGGAAATGTGTGCCTATAACCCCAGTGTTCCTTGGGAGGTAGAGAGAGAAGGATTGGGAGTTCAAGGCTAGTGTTGGCTATATATTGAGTTTGAGGCTAACTATTCTGGCCTACATGAAACCGTGTTTCAAAAGTAAGCAAGCCATTAGGGAGGCAGAGGCAGGCAGATCTCAGTGAGTCAGAGCACAGCTTGGTCTTCAAAGTGAGTTCTAGGACTGTTACACAGAGAAACACACTCTTGAAAAGCAAAACAAAAAAGAAAGCAAGCAAGAAAAAGAAAATAAGAAAGAATGAAGAAAAGAAAGGAGAAAAACAAAAGAAAGAGCCACTTGGAGTTTGGCTGTTTGCATAAAGGACTAGGAATGGTGGTGCATCTGCAGGTCTAAGGCAAGGTGCTAAGTTAATGTTACCTCCAAGGCCTGGATTCAAGTGGATGAGATGAGTAACTGCTCAAACAGTTCTCTCTCTCTCTCTCTCTCTCTCTCTCTCTCTCTCTCTCTTGGTTTTTCGAGGCAAGATTTCTCTGTGGCTTTGGAGGCTGTCCTGGAACTAGCTCTTGTAGACCAGGCTGGTCTCGAACTCACAGAGATCTGCCTGCCTCTGCCTTCCAAGTGCTGGGATTAAAGGCGTGCACCATCAACGCCCAGACTACTCAAACAGTTCTTATGAATAAGTTATATACATAATTTGAAATACAAGCCATCTAAATTTGTTTCATCTCAGGTGTTATCATTTATAGTCCAGGCTAGCCTTGAACCAGTATGCAGCCTAGAATGTTATTGAGCTCCTGATCCTTCTACTCCCACCCTCCAAGTGCTGGGACCACTGGCATGTGCCTGGCTTTAAATCTGTGTGTGAGCATGTGATGCATGTGTAAGTATGTCAGTGTGTGCGGGATGTGTATGTGGGAATGTGTGTGTGAGTGAGTGATGTGTGTTGTGTGTGTGTGTGTGTGTGTGTGTGTGTGTGTGTGTGAATGTGAAGCATTTGAATGTGTGGGTTCGATGGGTTTTGTGTAAGTGTGAATGTTTGTGATGTTTGTGATGTGCATGTGTGTGTGTGAACATTTAAGATGTGTGTATGTGGGTGATGTGTGTA